AAATCGTCCAAAACATTTTCAGTTGATTAGAAAAATTAAGGAATCAACATCCAATAAAATCGTCTAAAATACCGTCCAAAAACACTGTCCAAAAAAGTAACAACATCCAATAAAATCATCGCGGTAACAAATAGTTCAAAGAATTATTCCGATCAATTGACGGTGTTTTGGAAAGTTTCCACCTAGATGGACCTCAAGTACATATTTATGAAAGGCTAGGTTCATATTTATGAAAGGTTAGAGAACTTTGTTGTCACAAAATGAAGGTTAGGGTAAAGTCTACAAAAAATGAAAAGGTTGGGATCGCTACTGCAATTTTCCCGAAATGAAATGTTAATCCGTGGAGTAGTATGTATAACGAGTGATGTTGTGTGTATAGAGACCATTTTTCAAGATGGGTGGGTGATTTTTTTTAGCATTTTTATTACACCATGGGACCTCCCCATGTGAGTGTCTGTAAGAATTCTGTGGGAAGAAATTACAAAAAGCATTTTTTATGTACAATTGACAAAGTCTCGACTTTCATTATTAGAGGAGAATTTTATTATTTGTATATCGGTATACATGCCCCTTCCATGAGGGAGGAGCCCATGCCCAATAAAAAAAAGCGTGGACCCCCTTGTGTGAGAGAATGTATATACGTATAGCACAATTGATTAGATGAAGGACAATGCTATATGTACATAATTTTTTTTACATAATCATTTACCTATTACTCACAATAGTGGGTGGAGACCACATTTGGGGATTTTTATATTCGCGCTGATCGCGCAAGACTCGTGTACAATGTCAGAGGAGGAATAACTTTCTATAGATTCCATTTGGCACAAATGAAATTGTCCTTAGATGAATAGATTGGTCAACTAATCATCTTTCTTGATGACAATTATTTGAATTTTTTTTACGTACTCATTTTTAATCATACATATACATAATAAAATATTTTACACGTAAATTGAAAATATTTTCCTATTTTTTAACCATACATTTTCCTAAAATTCACTATTCAAAACATTGTTTTAGCCAAATAATGACCATCAAACAAGGGCTAAAACTCCTCAGAAATGGCTCTGTTTCTTTAAATAATGACCCATATATTGACTTGTTATTAATTAAATAAAATAATATTAAGGTCCAATTTGGTTGTGAGTAAAATTAAATTTTTAGTGAATTTGATAAAAGTTAATGAAAGTGCCTTACTAAAAAGTTGTGAGAATCATGAAATGTGTGGTTAAAATTGTTTGTTGATTTTCACTTAAATTAAAATCTACATTTTATATATGCACCAAATGGAAGTTAAATTTACTTACTATAAAGAACCGTTGTTACTTCATTTCATCTGCTTCATGAATCATTAATTAATATAAGCTCACGAATTTTATTTTGATCATTAGGGACTAGTACCTAGATCAAGTATTAAGCAAGCCAACCTAATTATAATAGCCGACCATGATAGAAATAGATGGGCACAATAAAACTCCTTCTTTAATGATAAACATATGAACTAATGATTGAACCAAGTTATAAAATCATAGACATATAATAAATTATGTCCCTATATGGTAGAGATTAAAACCAAATTTTTAGTAGATTTCGATAAAATTTGATGAAATATATGATTGAAAAGTTATGAATCCTATGAAATATGTGTTTAAAATTATTTGTTTACTCTAACTTAGATTTTAATCAATTTTTTGGCAACACCAAATAGAGACTATGTGTTTTACTCTTAATTTCATTACATTATATGATATTATAATTACATTTAATAGGCATGTCAATCGTTTAGGACTTGTAAGGTACTGTTACGCAATTTACATAACGTAATTATACCACAAGTGTATGGTGTCAAGTTTTGTAATATAATAATGGAGTTAGGATATCGAACTCATGGGGATTGATATCTATTTTTTACCAAGTATTATAATTATATAGCTCTTATTTTATCTTGACGAATGAAATTTGGAATCAATGGCTTTAACTAAATTAACGTGATGAAAGTGGTGATGAATTAAACAAATAAATGTAAGTTAGAAAAATAATCAGGATGCGAAAGCCTAAGATTATGATTTTACCTAACTATCAAATATGATTCTTAATTATTTCTAATCAATGTTCCCAAATTTATAAGCAAGAACCATAATTTAATTCAATTCTACTCTCTCTCGAGCACTGAGTAAAAATAATTTCTATATTGTAATTTCAATATCTCTATTTTGAATTAAATCTAGACATTATCAAGTTTTTTATTCTTATGTGGAAAGTGCTTTAAAGGAATTACATTTTCTCTCGAAACATATAATTTCCACTATTCTAAGATCGCGCCTAAATTTAACTCTCTTGAGTACCAAAATTGATAAAACATCTAATCATTCAATTAGTGGCCAATTAATTGAAAGTATTAAGAATAGATAACGTAAATAAACATGATTGGAAAATCTCAAAGAATTAACTATAATAAAATCAAAACATAATCTCAAGTTGACTACATCAAATCCTATATTAGGTGTTTAGTTCATGACCGAAGCCATAGAACTAAACAAATTGAAATAAAACAACATAAAAAAGAGAATAGAAAAAATAATTTTGGTAGATCTTCAATCTCCTTTCTGATGTTGTTCTTAATTTTTCCTTTATTTTTTGATGATCGCTCGGTTGAATTGTGGTTTAGAAGTGCTCTCTCAATTGGTATTTATCTCATATTGAAGTCCTAAGAGAAATTGGAGTCGGATTGACATTAGAAAGAGATCAACAAATTCGAAACCTCTTGTCCAACAGTATCCTGGAGTTGCAGTGGCACTGCGGCACCGTGTTGCTGTGAAGAATCCGCAATAGTGGCGCCTCAATGCCCACTTTTGGGTAGAAAAGAAGCATTGAACATCATTCAATATTTTTATTATAACTTTTTCTTCCGATATCCGATTGAGACAATTTAAAATACATTGAAAAGACAATTCAAAGGGTTATAACTTTACTTCAAATAGCTTATCTAATTCGAATTTTACTATGTCAAAACTGGATCTCAATATCCGACTAAAAATCTGAAAAATAATTGTGTGGTTGAAAATTGACTTGTAAAAATATTTTGATCATATTTCACTAGTTTTTGACCTCTTATTACATTCAATTGACTCCTAGCAATAATAATTATTGTTTGGTGGTCCAAATCTCCTCGAACTTTGGATTTCACCATTTTGTCGTTATTTACTTCTTTCTTTTAATTTAACTTTCAATTATCAAGTTTCACCTTATCAAATCAACTTTTCCTTGATTCATGCCAACATCACTCTTTCTCCAAATTGCATTATTCACACCAATTCACCTAACCTATAAAACAACAAAAAAACAGAAATCAAAATATTCCAAAACCTTGTAGAAATATACTAAATATCAAGATTAAATGTTCTCAAAAGCATGAGTGCAATACACTCATCGAAATATGGCTAGTGTATAACCTATGGGCTTCTTAGCATGCCCAATGAGTTCCGTTTCTCGTTCTAATGCTAATCTTGACCTTTAATAATGATACTATCTACAAAGAGAGACCACCACAAAGGAGCAGAAATCAACTGCGCTCCCTGATTAAGTTGAAAATAGGGTCTGCAGTGCTTGAAATTTCATTCCATATCTATGACATTGAATCATCTTTGAATATGTTGCTAGAAAGACCACTAGCTTTATACCTTATCTTGTGTTGTACTTAATCTTGTTAGTCCTCGAGCAAACACATAAGAAAATGAAAAAAACTAACGAAAAAATGCAAACAAAACTAACAAACGAACTCACTCAAACCAAGTTTAGTTAGATAGCTTGTCTCCATGGCTCATGAGTTAAAACATGATATCAAATTCATGAACTACTACAAAGTTATAATGCAAAAGCCAAATTCTTACCTATCCAATGCGATACCCCTTAAAAATCGGAAGGTTATTTCGATTTCAAGATCAACAGGTAATAGTCCAATGTTCCTCGACCTTCGCATAAACCTCAAACAAAAAACGACTACAAGCAAACTATTTAATAATAAAGAAATATAAATTAAAACAAAAGATAATTAGTAATAGTATTAGTAAAAATCAAATTGAAAAATCCCCGACAATGGTACCAAAAACTTGTTATACATTTTATATAACATAATTATATCGCAAGTGTACGGTGTCAACTTTTGTATAATCACTACAAGAAATATCTCCTTCAACAGTCATAGAAATGATCGTAGAATATACATTTTCGATTGTTGATCACATTTAACGACCAAAATCAGTTGGTTGTTCGTTGGTCAGAAAAGAGGTGTTGATGATTGTATTCAACGACTAAAAAGATATTTGGTCGTTGAATGTATTATCTCAACAACTAAATAACTGGTCGTAAAAAAATTATATTGACAACTGATTCTTTTATCAACAACTACTGGTTTAGTTGTTGTATCAACTATGTTTGTTGTTAAAATACAATGAAAGTAACCAAATTTTAGTTACCTTCATTTCAACAACAAAAAAAATAGTCGCTAAAAATTAATATTAACAACCAATTAATTTATTTCAACAACTATTTGATTTGTCGTTTTATTATTTTTATCAATAAAAGTTGATTGAAAGAACTAAAATTTAGTTGCCTTTCTTTCCAACAATAAAAGAAATGGTTGTAAAAAAATTGTGCCCTTATTTGAGCTCCATTCTCACCAAGAAATACATTTTTGAATAGTGTATTGATGGTAAATGTGTGTTTAAAAAATAAAGAAATGTTTTGAGTTTGTGTATAATATTATTTTAATAAAGAATGTGTAATTGAAATGAAATCAAATCACTGTTGAAAAATATATTTTGATGAAAATAATAGAGCTCAAACAAGGGCTATATTAACAATCAAAATATTAAAATGATGAGAAATTTGATTATTAACAACAATACTCATGATTCCATAACTTCCACATATTCACATCATACTACAAGCAAATCTTACCCACAACCATAAACAATTTTGAAAGTAAAACAAAGCAATTATAAATAACATTACACTCAATTCAGTCACTGGTGTTCTCAACATAAAACAAATAAATGTAGAGTTGCCTTCATGGCCTTTACATATTTTGCTTTCAGTTCTACGGCTCTATCTTGATAGAATTGTTTTTCCTAGTGATCATTGAAGCAAAAAAACTCACTTCAATAGTCATGGATTACCATTTCTCAACACCGTCCTTGGCTACCTAATATTCCAGAAACCAAACATGTCATGATAGAAACCTAGAATTGAAATGCATAGTAGAAAACCTTTAAGAATTTCACATCTTTTACACTTTTGCAATCAAAATTACTCTCCTTGTACTCTTTCCTAAAATCATCCCTGTAATGATTAACATCGAACATAACATCAAATAAATTACTCAAGCTTGTGCAATATAGAAAATGAAAGGAAAAGAAATTGCACATGAAAAGGAAGGAGGAAGCCAGAGGACGTTTTGGTGTATTAGTATTTTTTGCTTTCATTTCCCTTTTCGCTTTTGATTCTGTACATTTTGCCTTTTTTTATTCATCAGTGAAATAATGTGAAGATAAAAACACACAAAAAAATCAAATCAAAGTGATAAAATACTGTACAGTAAGAAAGTTCTATGAGATTACTTGACCTCACATAGCATTTCTACAATCAAAAGAATTCATATCGATTGATCATCAATCAGGAGAAGTTTCCCTCAGTCAATAGAGATAGATATTTATCATATTGGTCCAAGATTCATGAATATGGATAAGTTTTAAGATATTTCATTCTTGGCAAAATAGAGACAAATTAATGTATTAAATTAGCCTTGGTACAATCGAGAAAATCAATCAAAGAATGTTTCTCTTTTCACAACAAACAGAATTAAGATTTAAAAATCCTCCACAGGTAAACAAAAATGGGAAAATGAGTAGTTAAGATAAAACTTGTTCAATCAAAAAGTTTAACAGTGAGAGACTGAGAACCCAGAGCCAAAGAGTATGAAGATGAATGATGAGATTGCTAAAGACAATCAACAATCCAACTCCTTTTTCAACTTGAATCACCGAACATAATGTAAATGTTTCTCTTGAAGTTGTAATTCTGATAACCATTGAAAAAAATGCCTATGAAAGCTTCAAAATGCAGCATAAAAAGAATGCAACAAAAATATTCTTAGAAATTGCTTGTGTTAGGGGTGTCAAGGAATGTAAATCTTGGTTCATTGGTACTTGATAATAAAAGCAATAACTTGTATATCTATCCCTGCCTTGCCCTTAACATGAAGCAAATCCTACTTTGTTGGAACATGTATTTAGGTACTGGCACCAATCTCAAATACATCACTTAATCAAAATTTTTGTAATATTCAGATTCTATAATCAGTTTAGACCCACAATTGCAAACCAGAATCCAACCCACAAAATTAATAAGTGAAAAAATTATCTAAAAGCAACAATCAAGAAGATGAAAGATGACGAGGTAAAGGAAGAATAGATTAGACTGATGCACCTGAATCAGAGAACCATATTGAAAGATATAATGATGGAACAATAGTGGCCTAGTGGTCTACCTCTTTGCAGGGTCTTTCTAAAGACATCAAGTAATGAAATCCTTAAACTCCCTAAGTGCAATAAATTCTTAAACCATCTTTCTCACTTGTCAAGCAAAAAAGGCTTCTGCCGGTTGGAAATTTCAACAAGCATCTGGTGGGCATATCACAAAGCAACATTAAATCACAAAATCAAATTAGAATATTTTTACTAACAATAGAGGAAGTACAAAAGGCTAATCATTATATTCAAATAAAATAATAATGAGGATGAAAAGAAAAAGAAATCAAAAAATAAAGAAGAAAAAGTAACCAAAAGGAAAGAAAAGAAAAATGAAATAATATTGTCAAAATAACTTAACTCCTACAGCCATAAAAGAAAAAGTCACAGTCATTCTTTATCACCATTGATTATAGAGGATGAAGATGAGAGGGATCATTGATATGTTGGATGTGCAAAAAATGAAATTGAGGGAAAGTGAAGACTAGGCCCATGTTTGGGAGAAATTTTTGGAGATATGGAAATGAATTTTTGGACCGTTTGTGGGCCCATGTTGTATTTCTTTGAATTCCTTTGATTAAGGGTTATTGAAAATATTATCAATATACCCTTTGTACTATGGTGAGAATGGGAGTGGGGCTTTGTATGGAGGGGTATCATTGTAAAATCGCGTTCATGCACTTTGATTTTGGAGTCAATAATTACGGCTCCAAACGGCCAAATTTTTTATTAAAATCAAGGAAAAATTGCTTCCAAACAAACCCTAGAGTTTGAAATAAAAAGAATGTAAAAATTTGGAGAAATTGGGCGGGAAAATGAAATAATTTGATTTTGTGTTCTTTAAATCAAATCTATTAATGTCTTATTAATTATTTTAAATAATTTTGTATTTTTATAAAATACTTGTTAATATTTTATATAATTTTATTATTTAGATTTATGATCAAGAAATCGTCGACATAAGTTCTCATTACCAAATAGGAGTAAAATTTTATTTTAATATGACAGAATATTTAAACATGAGAACTTAAACTTAACGTTACACCTTTAACGATTATATAGTACTACTAATTGAATGTCGAAAACTATTTTGACATCATAAACTTTCAACAACAACTAAAAATAATCCGTTGTTGAATATCACTATCGGTGACTACTAAAAAAATAGTCGTCGAATGTCGATTTTCCTTTAGTTACAACAACCACATAAAATTAGTTGTTATTTTACTATATTAACGACCAGAAATTATGGTCATTGAATATTTATTGCATTATTTGTATTTCTAACAAACCAATTTTGTAGTCATTGAATAAGAACAGATATTTTGCCCGAAATTTTTTATTTGGCGCCGACTTACAACAACTAATTTTAATCTGGTTATAGAAAATATAAAGATATCAACTATGTTTTTGGTTGTTATATGAAATTTCCAACTAATTCAAAATTTGATTGTTCATCATCCATTTTCTACGACCAAGCTTATAATTTCATCGTTGAAAATATTTTTTAACAACCAGATTGATTTGATCGTTAAAACATTAGTTGCTAAATGTCATTTTTCTTATAGTGAATAATAATGGAGTTAGGATGTTGAACTCACATGGATTGATATTTAATTTCTACTAAATACTATAATTGTATAACTCTTATTTTATCTAGATGAATGAAATTTAGAACTAAACTAATGTGATGAATATGGTGAAGAATTTAACAAATAAATGCAAGTTAGAAGAATAATCAAGATGAGAAAACCTAGGATTATGATTTCACTTAATTATCTAATATGATTTTCAATCATATAATTATTTCTAATCAATTTTCTCAAGTTTATGGGAAAGATCACAAATTTAATTATACTCCATTTCTCTAGTGACGAGTAAAAATAATTTCTATATTTCAATCTCAATATCTCTATTTCGAATTAAAATCTAGAAATTATCAAGCTCTTGGTTCTAATGTGGAACATGCTATAATTTCCTAAGTTGTGTTACTCTATGTTGAAAGTATTAAAAATAAATAGCACAAATAAACTTGATTAAGAAATCTCAAAGAATTGACTGTAATAAAATCAAAACATAATCTCAAGTTGGTTATATCAAACCTTATATTAAATGTTTAGCTTATGACGGATGCCATAATAATAATCAAATTCAAATAAAACAACATAGAGAAGAAAATAGAAAATTAGTTTTGGTAGATCCTCGATCACGTTTGCAACGTTATTATTGATTTCTCCTTTATTTCTTAATGATTGCACTGGGGCGTCGTGGTTTCAACTTTTGGATAGAAAATCAGCACTGTACATCATTCGGTATTTTTATCATAATCCGTTCTCCTAATATTTAACTGAGGCGATTCAAAGTGCGCTGGAAAAATAACTAAAATATATATATATATATATAAAATGGGACTAAATCTTCAACAAAAAATCTAGAACATATCTGTGCAGTTGAAAATTGATTTGTAAAAGTATTTTGATCATATTTCATTTCTTTTTGACTTCTACTTACATTCGATTGACTCTTAGAAATCTTCAATTATCGTTTTATGGTCCGAATCAAATATTGAAAAGTTGTAATTGAGTTCTCAAACTTTGGATTTCACAATTTTCGTCATTATTCACTTCTTTCTTTCAATTTAATTTCCAATCATCAAGTTTCAACTAATCGACATCAACTTCTCATTGATTCATGCCAACATCATTCTTTTATCCAAGTTTTGTATCATTCACACTAATTCACTTAACCTATAAAACAACACGAAGACACAAATCAAAATATTCCAAAACTCATAAAAATAAACTAAATATAAAGATTAAATGGTATCAAAAGCATGAATGCAATATACTCATTAGGTACATTCCATTCCAAGGCACAGTTTATCACAATAAGATAAATTTATTAATTATGCACTAAATAAAATATTAGAACAAGAGCAAATATATGTAATGTAAATCACACCTAACTTTACATTACTTGTTAGTACGTGACTCTTTAGAAAATTGAATTTATTCATAGTACATGGGTATAAAATATTGAATCTAGCAAATTTGTAAATGTATATTATTTCAACATATTAAACTCGTAGCACAATTTGATATATTTAATTTTAGTTCATTTTTTGTAAGTGATGCTAAGAAAAATTGCCACAAAATGATGTCGAAATTAGAAAATCAACTTTTATATTTGTGATCAGTCTATATAGTACAACTCCATCTTTTAACGCAGATGACATCTTGAACTCCAACTTAGTTTTCTTGAAGAGCATGAACCCAAATAATATATTACTCATAACCCGAAAGCCAAAAAAATAAAAATAAATAAAATAGAGTAAATTACACTCAAGCAGGTTTTTTAACTTTTTCAATTCAAAAATCAAGTTTAAAGATTTTTTATTAAAAAATGAGTAAATATTCAAATTTTAATATTAATAATAATATTAAAAAACTAAATTAATCTAAATATCCACATGATATGTGGGAACAACCTCAATCTAATAGCATCATTTGAGATATATCTGAAGTGTTGACACGTCTTCAGGAATCGAAAGATATGTGTATGTGGGTTTTCCTCAGCTCTACCATAAAACTGATGTTCATTCTGAAATAATTGTATGATCTTGGTCTTCAATTGGAAATTTGGCTACCCGAACGGTGGATACATAATGCTGGATTGGCTTTGAATGATTTGTGAGGTCATAAATTCCCCAACAAGCATATTTCCCTCGTCCACAACTTCCTCTTTATTTGCTCGAATTATCGGGTTGTTTTTGCTCGTTAGCCATTTGTCCTTACTGTTTTTGATCTTTTTGATGTTTATATATCCTGACAAAGAGAAAAATAAATAAATAAAATAAAACAAAAATAACAATACAAAAATACCGATAGAAGTTCGAATTAGTGCCAAGATAAATAAAATCAAACCAAAACTCAATCCCCGATAACGGCGCCAAAAATTTGTTCAATAAAAATATTTTTCGAATTAAAATTACCACAAGTGTACAGTTCGTTAACAAGTAATAAAGTGGATTATGAGTCCAAGTATCATCCCACAAGGATTAACTTAGTTCGATTTTTATTATCTTGACCTTAACCGAAACAAGAATGACGAGAATGTGTTTGTTGTAATGAAATTATAAATAAAATAGATCACATATGCAACTATGAATGAGTTAACTAAACTAGATGCAAGTTATGATTGATGCGAATTGATGTGTAATGAATGAGCGTACTAGGATCGTGAATCCCCATGCAACAATCTGTTTTAACCCTAGTTTTGCAAATTGACAACACACTTGAATATTGAAAAATCAATGTTCCTATTATATTTAATAGTCTCTCTCGAGTAAAGTTAAATATATTCTCATTTATGACCCAACTATATCTCTATGACGACTGTGAACATACAAGAATGCATGAATTTTTATGAATACTTAAAGATTCACATAGAACATAGAGGTATACTTCTGTACCCTATCAGACCCTATGACGATTTATACTATATCGTGCCTATTTTCCTTCTTTCGATTGTATAAAATAAGCCACCACATTCACATAATTACCGTGCGCAATAATTGTGGACAAAAGAAATTCATATAAACCATTCAATACTCGAAAAGGTGTTTTTAATGTCAAGAATGTAAAACCAAAGATAAAAAACTCATATCACAAGGTTTATCGTTCTCCTAGCACATAAAAATCTAGTCTAGCACGGTGAAAGTAAGAAAGCAAAAAGAATTTTTAAGAAACAACATCGCCCAATTGATTATAATCAATTTTAATCGTCGAGTTTTCGAGTTGATCTTCGCGTTTCTTCCCAGTTCTATGCTCTCAAAATCCTTAGAAATCTGTTAGAATGCCTGGTGCATGCTTAGGGACAACCCTAGGGTTTTGAAATACCTCATAAGATTTGTTTCCATAAGAATTTCGGTCAGATAAGCAAACCAGAATTTTTTTTGCTACGATTGGCCTGGGCTATCACCTAGTTATAAAAACTTTCGAATATTGCATTGTAGTCCTCGAATTCATTTCTTGATTCTTTCAAATCCTTTCAATTCCAATTTCAACCCATCCAATTTTAATTGCATCCAATTGAACCCCCAACATCTTTAATCTTCATTTTGTGGTCCGAATCAACTATTGAAATGATGCAATTTAGCCTTCATACTTTGAATTTTCCCATTTTTCTTTTCTAAGTGCTTAGAAACAAGTCCATCAATCAAATAAACAAAAATTTACCCAAGTTAAGTAAAAATCAATACTTTTCTGACATAAAACTTAGCAATATGGTCCAAATAAGCGCACAGAATGCACTTATCAGTTCCCAACCCAAAGTGCCCATTCTTCTCATAGTTTTGGGGTTAAACTGAACATAAAGAGTGCTTTATTCACTTCAAGTAAATCTAATCGACCCCTTTCTGATTATAAGGAAAATAAAGTTGAAACATCTCTCGAGAGATGGGAGAGTGCTATATGTTCTACTAAGAAACTGCCTCAGCACTTATTGTAGCATACAATGAAGCCACAAAAACAAAGTTCTGATTCTTCTAAGGGTTTGTGTTGGGTTGGGGTTGTATAAAGAAGGTCTATGACCAATACGTTAGCTTAATTTATAATCTATAAATAATATATGACCA